GGTCATGCATGCTGAGCAGCGCCAAGAAACAACTCGCAAAATAGAACGACATCGACAATTAAAGTTGTCGGAGTTGATTATATATATTTTATATATGTTATATATATATACTGAAATGTGCAGCAAAAAAAGCACGTATGAACTAAATATTTAGCAACATTTAAATTATAAAATCTTCAAATATAAAATTTATTTTTTTTTTAAAGTTTGTGTTTTTGAATTTGTATGGATTTCAATTGATTGTATTGTGCTTCAATAAAGTAATGAGATTTAGCATAGCCCAAAGCATGCATCGACCACACCTCAACTTCTTTGGAAGCGTAGTCTTAAATAACAAAAACTGAACTACTTTCCCTTTGCAAAGTGAATTTGACACATCCAATTGTCGCGGCTTTAAAAAACTTCGGAGTATCTTACGACGGCAGTTAATCTGTCAGTGCTCTGCTTAGAGACATACGTATTTATTTACTGGTAAGCCAACAACCTCTGCATTAAAAGTGTTAAACCTTTCAATTCAATGTATCTATAATGGAAATATCGTGCCGTAAATTAATTTGCAAGTTCATATTCACTACCCGTACTCGCTATCTGAACGAATTTCAACTCTATGACATGAGCGAAAAAATGTTTTCGGCAAGTATCCATTACTATGAAATCATTCTTGTGCAATTAAGTAATACTTAAATGTAAAACTATAAACAGACAAAGACATGAAAGCGAACGCGATTGAAAGAATCCGATCGCCTACCGTTTTATATAAAGGAGAGTAATAGATATTTGTAATCTTTACTTAAATTAAATTTAAACTTAAAAATTAAATTTATTCATACACTTCCATATATAAAAATATTTAAAATATACGAAATTGATTATTTTTTGCTTTAATGATTGAGAAACTGTTTAAAAATAATAACTATATTGCTATGAAAGTTTATAAACTGTTAAATTAATAGAGCAATTTAAATGTAGTGTAATTTAATTTCTCTAATAAATAACCTTGAAGATTTTATTTTATAAAATATATTATTTATTATATTTAATATTTAATAAATTTGATTAACAAGCCAAGTGTGTCATCCACTTTGTTAACATATATCGTACTGTATCGCTGCTTGTCTCGTAATTCGAGAGTACCGGGCTTATCAATATCAATCTCATATAGGTATCAGACACAGCAGATAATTGTGACACTGTACGGGTGTGTTACATACAGCAAAGCCTCAAATAGTGCCATAAAGCAATTACAGATAGCACAAAACCTGGTTATAAGAAGCCTATTTAAGATTCCATGGTATATGTATTAGAACAACAGACAGAGATCGAAGTTAAAACGCTACCCAACCCCGCTCTAACAAACCTCAAGTCCACCTCAGGACCCACAGGAAGATATGCTGACCTACAGTCCGTCATCAGTTAAACGATAAATAAACGATATGAATTCCAGTATAGTTAAAGCTTAGTGTGGGGCAGGTATAAGCCCCCAGCCACAAAAGAGTAAAAGTGCGCAATAGCACTAACTCAAGTGTGGAATAGCACCGTTTGGAATGATATTATTTTCAACACATGAGTTGATTAAATTTTTTACCTTGAACGAAGTTTAAGAATTCCTTTTTATTTTGAAGTTTTTTTTTATCAAATAATCAACTAAACAAATAATCAGGTTCATTAATACCACTACTTCTATTACTATATTAAACAAAATATTTTTATTACATGTTAATGGTAAAACGCATTTATTTCTTTTTAATTACGGAAGTAAAAGGACACTTACTTTATATCATTGCACATACAACTTGTAGATGCAATTTTACTAGTTTTTCCTAAATTGAGAAATAAATACATTATGAAAAATTATTCAAGATTTTGGCATTTATCAAACCACACACAAAAAACAAATATTCGTTTATAAACCCGAAAATCTGTAACAGTGAGTTGAGTTCGATTGCTATAGCAAGGTTGTTAAATTGATTGAATTTCTTTAAATAAAAATTAAAGACATTCAATTAATAACCATATTTAAAAAAATGTATACAGGAACCGAAACCCATTGACTAAGCAGAAAGATGTAAGTTCACGAAGTACGAACATGCGACACAGGAGTTGTTTTCTCTCGCCATGGCGTCACCGATTTGCGGTTTCTGCGAGGAAAATCATATTTCAATTTCAATGACCCGCTGAAAAGCCTGAAATGTAAATAAAGTGACAAACGTAAAATTAAAAAGTAAAAGTGATATTGTTTTCGTTTGATTAATATTTATTAATATTGAAATCAAACCACAAAAATAATAAAAGTTTATTTACTTATCTAAGCCCCCTTAGTCCATATTCTTCACAAGTTCATTTCATTCTAATTTCTAAACTGAAGACATTAAATGAATTTAAAGAGAAAAATTTATTGACAACAGTTTTAATTTTTTTACTGCAGGCCTTGTAGTACGAGTTCGTTCCAAAACTACTTCACTAACGCCTCATAAATAACTCAAATGGACAATCGTTAATTGAACGCTTACCAAATCAATAAATATTACATAGATTGCGTCTAATTAAACAACTGAAGGCAAACCCATTAATGGAGGAGATGCAAATAACTTGTCAGTGATGTGAACTGATTCATGCTCCAAAATTTGTGGATCATCTATTATATCATTGCTTTACGTGGTAATTAGATCAACATAGCTACTTGAATATTCTAAAAATACTAATAAGAGTAGGCTTTATATAAAGTCTAGGGTATGGCGAAACTTTAACCAGCTAACATCTCCTCCGTCCGAACAGTTGTATCCTCCTAGTATGCACGATATGTTAAGTATTTTATGAGGAACCGTCGTGAATATTGAATTTCATTCTGTTTTACGTGATGTCCTGAAAATAAAAGTTATCTCTGTACGGTCCACTTCAAATCGATTGCAGTAAAACAAAACGTGTCCTACGTTTTCCAGCTCCTTTGTGATGTGCGAGCAAAAAGTGTTGCTTCCGTATCCAATTAACAATGAGTTAATTTATAATACCATACAAGAGTTTGAGCCTAATGACAACTATATAGAACCATTGAGTGATGCGTGGTTGTAGTCCCCATTTCTTACGAATAGGCTTTTGGTGTTTTGCTTCCATGTTAGTTTACTGTCGAAAACATAATCTAGACATTTGCCTTCCTCCTTGTAATGTAATACAGAACCTCGCAGAGAGGGTGGAGGAAGATCAGGGATCGTATTCTTTTTGGTGAAAACTACGATTTCGATTTTGTTGGGATTAACCCCAAGGCCACATTTTTGTGTCCATTTGTTAAGGATATTATGACCGTTTTGCAGTATATCCCTAAGAGTAGAAGTATATTTGTCGGTGACTGCTATCGTAAAATTATCCTCATAAGCAATAGTTTCCCATATCTCTGTCCTCAGTTTTATGAGCAGTTCATTCACGACTATGTTCTAGAGGAGAGGGGAGAGTACTTCCCCTTGGGGGTACCTCTGTTCACTCTTCGCTTCAATAAGTCTGCCACTTAGCAACTGATTGATGTAGGCGTGCTTTGAGGGAGACCACTGGTTGGGATTTACAACACACCTTAGTTCTAAATCTATAATTCTTTTAAGAGCCTTCAATATGAAAAACGAAAGGCTTTTTGGGCGGAGTTCATTGGATAAAAACTACTCTAACCTCCCTCCATTTGGTTGGAACATAGTTAAAAATGACAAAATATCTAAAGATGACCACAAGCTTGTGGTATAGTAGCTCTCAGGAATTGAGGAACTCATATCATCCGGTCCTGGTGATTTATAGGGTTTGAAACTAAAAATGGCTCATTTAATTATCTATAAGTAAGGTTCACTTTAATAGAGTTAATCGGTGAGAAACTTAGGCACTCCGTGGATGCAATTGTTGAAGCAGAGGATCCCGGAAAGTGAGTATCTAGTAGTAGTTCCAATGATTCGCTACTGTTGTTAGACTATGTCCCATCAGGTTTTTTTAATAACTCAGGGACGGATGGATTCTTAGATAGGATTTTACGTAGTCTAGGGGTTTTGGAGTTGTTGTTTATTTCTTGACAGTATAAGTAAAATAGATAGATAAGTAGATAGATATGTGTAGATAATGAATACATATTGAGTATATATTTATTTTAAACATGCATAGTGTTTTAGTTAAATAATATTAGAGTAAATTGTGGATATTCTCAATATTAAGTATCTTGAGCAATTTTCCGATAAACGAAACAAAATCTCAATGTCTTCAAATTATAAGTGTTCGTACTTAGTCATTTTTACTACCGGGAATACATAAATCTGCATGGAATGTAAATTTTTATTATTAATTTATATATACCATAATTGTAATTGAAGCTAAATTCAATTATTTATAATGTTTCTTTTAAGCATGGGTTAGGTTAGGTTAGGTTATACCGGCAATTCCTAAAATCCACTTAGGCCCATTGGTCTATTGTGTTACAGTATATAGGGGAAACTCAGGGTTTAAAATCAAGTACAATTATCCGATAATTTTACATAATTGTAAATTCCTTATTATCTACAATTTCGACAAAGTTTACGTATTCGAACTTAATTATTATTTATTTTATTTTTATGCCAGTACGCTTTGGAAACCAACTATTATTTCATTTCAGAATGTAAAAGTAATAAAAATATGCAATAAAAAAAGGTTTATTTTTCAATTCGAATATTGAAAACAATTGCGGAGTAATTTGAATTGTACTTTATAATTAAAACATTAATTTAATTATTTAATTAAAGTGGCAATGTGCATTAAAACATTTTCTTTGATTGTAAAACACAGTAACTGAAATGTGCATTTGAAAATATATGATTTGGGCAGTAACTCTGGTAACAGCACAGTGGGTGCCATATATGAATCCTCCAGGCAATGCTAACCAAAATATGTTTTCTCATATTTTTTTCCAAATTGGTTAAATTTAATTGGCATAAGTGATATATTTTACGCTTTTTTATTACAGATTCGCTAACAAAATTGTTAACATCTCTTTTCAGACCTCTTCTTCTCTTCAAATTGTTGGAAAGAAATTTTACAACTTGAGTTAAACTCTATTAGGTTCGAGTGAAGCATTGTGGTGCAATTTCACACATTTTTGTATAAAATTTGAAGCTGCTGGCATATGTTTGTGGAATATTACATTACAAATTTTAAGAATATAGTTTATACTTCGATTTCTGTGGTAAGAATTTGTACTTTTACTTTCTTAAAACAGTCCAGACATAAAAAGAAAACTTATTTAATAGCTAACTAAAAAATATTGTAAGTATTACATATACATAGTGTTACGAAAAGTGTGAAGTACAAACTAATAAAATTTGGTTCTAAATTTTCATAATTAATAATTTCAGTTTAAGAAGTAAAGAATACTCCTCATAATTATTAGTTTCAATTTAACGGATAAGGAGCGGATGACAAACCCAGACTACCAAACTTCGGTTCTAGCTCCTTATAACTGTTAATTTCAGTTTAAAGTCCAGAGGAAAACTTTTGTTTTAATTATTTATAATTTTTAATTTCAGTTCAAAGACTCTATAAAATTAAACATCTTACTGTTTATATATAGTAAACAAAAGGATGAATAAGCTTCATAGTTTTACTGTGATTGGGGTTAACAGACTGAAAGGAAAACTTTTATTTTAGCGCTCTTTCAATTTTATCGCCCTACACTAGTGGACCTTTACTAGTTACTTATTTTCTTAGTAACTGAAATTATCTGCAGATCGCAATGAAAATAGAGTTACTGACGTACTGAATGTATTTTTTAAAAGGCTAATTCAAGCTTTCTTCGTTGACGCAACCTTGAAGACTGTAAAGAAGCATCTTATTTTATATTAACATATTTATAGATTTACAGATTCGTCGTTTATACTAATATATACTAAGTTAAAGCTTTATTCCAATTGATTAATCATTTATTGTTATTTTCTTCTTTATTCCATGTCGAAACAGCATGGAACTGTTATATACAGTATGGATTTTATTTCTTTGTTAGTTGGAGATTTTTAAATATATAAAAAGATTTTTTGGGAGTACCAAAAGTTATTGGATTAGTTTCAAAGCCCATGTTCTGCTCCTTTTACTGATTAGTTGATTAGGTCTATATTCCATGTTATTTTCGTTTTATTTATAACGGAATAGTTTAGAGCATTAACGACCTATTGCCTTTACGCAAATATGATATGTTGTTATTTTTGTTATGTATGTTTATTGGGACCTGACTATTTTCATTGTTTCAAGTTTAAGGTGAAACTATTATATATATCACACCAATATCACATCAATAACCTATAATTATAATGTTACTTTTGTCTTGCCGATAGAAGCGCGTCCTTATGACGAAAAGAAACTATTTAAAAGTTAAACGGATTCGAATAGCGAAGAAAAGACAATTATTTAATTTCAATAAAAATTATTTAATTCAAATAAATTCAATAAATTTTTGTCGTTATCTTTTCTTTGCTATTCGAATCCGTTTAATCTAAAATTATTTTTTAATTGGATTTCTTTAAAAAGTAAAACAACAAGAAAGTAAGTGAAGACTATATTGCCAAATTTTATCTTTCATTGCTTTACTAGTTTTTACTGTACTTTCAGTTATTTTTGAAAATCTCTTTTTGTTTTATTAAAACCCGATGATATCTAAAATATCTAATTATGCTACTGTAATTAGCTATATAAAAGTATTTTACATATATCAAATGGTGACGTTGTGTTGTTTTATGTATTGAGTGAACTGCTTCTAAAGTCTCTGCATAAGATCTAACACCCACTGAAATCAGACCTTAGGGAAGAAGGTTGAGGCTGGTAATGATATCTAAATATACTTAGTACAAAAAAAGTTACATAGCTTTAATATCGCATATTTAATATCACATTTAAGATATGTTAATTATTTGTACTAAAACTTAATACAATACCTTGCGCAGACAGACTTTATATTCATATGCATACTTGTTCATATGTGAAGCGAATTGTATGAGCTTGCAATTCTCTCTCGCCAGCATTGTTATGATTTTGTGCTGCGAACTTTTCACTTTCAGCAGCAAAGTTTGAGCTCAAAACCATTTCATGACAAAGCATGCATTACTTCGGCTTCAGTGCAAGTCTGTCTGTCTTTTAAAGTTGGCTTCAAGCCTCGTATGAGCGACAGTGGCTCTATGGTAATTGCGCATGCCGGTCGGTTTTACGGTTGAAACAGTTCAGCTCGCGTCACTAAAATCACTGTGGCTTTTGAAGTAACAAAACTAAGTCGAAGGAAATATAAAATCAAATGAATTAAATCGCAGAACTGAAGCTAAAAGATTTTAATTCAAAGAAGTCAATAATTAAACTAACAGTTTCAAAACAAAACAAAAAAAAAAAAAAAAATAATAATAATTGTTAAATCAATTAGGAATGCAGCACAGTATGAGATCTAGTTTGGCATTTATATTCTGAAAAAATATATAAAAATTAAAATTGTTCAATTGTTTGTTTGGTGTGAAAATTCTTGTGCAACTTTTGCAACAATAAAAATTCGATCAAAACTGGAGGAGTTTTTTGTATTCGAGCTCCAACGATTGTTATTTAATTGTATATGTAAGTACCACACCCACTACACTGCATTGGCGTTGCAAGGTTACTGCAACCAATAACACAATAGTTGCATACCCTTCACCATCAGTTTAATAGCATAAAACTTTAAGTTTTTCCTCTACTCAAACTCCAGTCCACTCCACTCCACTTCCCTTCGCTCCACTCCACTCCACTCTACTCTACTCCATTCAAATTGTCGGTTGTATAATCGCAAAAGGCGAGATATCAAACGATATATACCAAATTCAAATAAAGTAAACAATGTTAATGGCCAACAGCTAACTAACCCAGATATGAAGCAATTGGTAAAAATATTGAAAAAATTGCGAAACAGGATTTACATGTTTACGACGAGGCTTAAGGTGTTCCTTGAAGAAATTGTTTAAATTGCATAATAAAAATTAAATTTTCTTTATTTAAAAAAAATTGGCAAAAAGTGTTCACACCTCTGCGAAATTAATAAGTGCGATGCATGCTCATTAAATACTTTAAGTGGAAAGTCAACGAGACAGAAACGCCGAAACGCAGAAACGCAGAAACACGGATAGACTGAAGGACAGACATGCTCTAAAGTGCTGTGAAGCATTTTAAAATACTTATGAACAGCACGAGCACAGCTCTAGCACTCAGTTCAACTATCAGAGCAAATCTTCTCAGCGATGGCTAATCTACCACCGCCAAACGACACATTAACCTGTTGACGATGAGCGTCTTTTCAAGTCGCCGTGTGGCTGGAACTTTTGACAACAATGGAATAAAGAAAAAATTGTTACACTTTGTATTGTTTTGTTGCGCTGCCTTGCTTCATCTAATTTTTATTATTTATTATTATTTTTCAAATATTGCGTATAATGCATTTCAGTTTCGAAATGTTTTTGTTTATGAAAAATTTATGAAAAATATTTCAAAAATAAAAAATCGTGTCTTACACAAACGCACATGCATACTTAATGGCCACAGCAGCTCCGATGCTGTCATCGCCAGTAATTACTATATGCGTACTAACCTTGGCAGCGAATTATTTGAAATTGACCGCGAGCTGAAGTGGTCGAGCCTAAGCATGCAACCATATTGCTTCCTTATGTTGAGCGAATTACTTTAATTACTGCAGGTATTATGATTAAGTAAACTACAAGTTCTTTAAATGAATTCATTTAAAATTGAAATCTCTTAAGCTATTATGTTTATTCCGCTCAGTCGCACAAAACAAGTTACTTGGCACTGCCTTCAGTATTTCAGTATTTCAGTATTTAGCGGCAAGAGGCTTATCTACACTTCAAATTAAAACTATTTCATTTACATAAATATCTTCTAAGACAAAAATTAGCAAATGTTTACATTTTTTCTTCTAATCTGTGGTCATAAATGTGTGGCAATGCTAATAAATTTTACGGCCGATAGTGAAAGCCTAACTTTCATTGCCAAAGCCCGCTTCGGCTTCGTTCTACTTGATCTGCGTGTTACAATGAAGGCAGTTACAATAAAATAAATCTGTTATTTTGTCTTGTCATTTATGGGCTAGGCTGGCGAATTCAATTAGAAATGCTGAAATCTGGTTTTAAGTTTCAACAACTGTCCACCTGCCTTATGCTGACATGTCTTACCGAGTTTAGAACTAGTACAAGTTCAACTTAGGAGAGTACAAATAATTTTATTAAAACAACTTTTTGGAAATTGTCACTTTAATATATAGCACAATTAGCAAGGAGTGAAAGAAACGAAACAGTGAATATAAAAATAATCCATTTAATACATATTTAATATATTATTTTCTCTTAATTCTAACATTCTGGATATATTGAAAGATTGAGTATTTAATTATGGACATCCACGTTTGAGTAGCTGTCACGCCTCCTCCCAAACCACACAAAAGTGTATTTTAGTTACCATCCGGAGATAACACTTGAGATAAAATATTTACAGTAAACCTGCATGGTTGATAAAGTAGATATGGTGTATAGTTTAAAGTCATATTTTCCCGAGCCACATAATCCGTTTGGTCCTCTTTGATGCTCTTGATGCTTAAATGTTCGTCTTGTTTTGCATTCAAACATTCAATAAAATTTAGTATATCATTCTCCAAGATAATATTCTCTTCAAGTAGGGTAATTAGTTTTCTCATTTTACTTAGGTTTTATCAGAGCTCTTTATACCCAAAAATGTAGCTTAAAGAAGTAGCCTTAATTATATGAATGTATATTCCCAGTATTTTTTTGGTTATTACTTGTTAATGAATATATATGTTGCCAGTAGAGAAAATCACTGCGATCAGTAATAGATCTTTTATGCTAACGGATTTCACATTGCCGCTACCAAAACCAAAACATTACCGATAACGTGCATCCATATATCAGTAACAGTCATAGCGTTTTGCTGAATAGAAAAATGAAGGTTCTTAAAGTCAATAGCATAGCAAGCAATAAGAAAGTAAGGGAGAAAGAATTATATATATTTTATGCAATTTTTAAGTAATTGAAAGAGAAAGCTGAAAATAATAACTATTACTCAAAAAGTATTTCTATTACTTAATTACCTCTTTATGGCTAATGATAGAAATTATTCAAAACAGTACTAGAATTAATTGTAGTGTTGTAAATGAAACTT